GCAGTGAGTTTCAAAGCAGAAGGTTTCAGCATTAAGGCTTCAAATCTCAGAGCTGGGGAGCTAGTTGCACATTTTCTGTTATACTGATTAGAATATGTAGTGTTACATATTCTGCCAGAGTTCCAATCTGCATTTTTAAGTAGGATTTTGAACCTTATGCACAAATTGTAAGCGACAGTGCAATTGACTGTCAACAGTATTAATTCCCAACATTATAGCTATTTGGCTTTGGTTGGATTCTTAATGTTAGTTAAACCAGTACAGCTTTTTCCCCACCTTCCATGTGATTCTTCCTGCTGCAAAAGAGCCCTTTGTTTAAGAAACCTCCCAGATGACTACAGAACAGATGTATTTATTATTCAGAAGTTTCATTTATTAAGAATAAATAATTTATTCTTATAAATTATTCTGTTTCTGTTTAATCAACACATTAGCAATTGTGGCATATATGGAAAGTAATGTTTGTATTTCTACTAATTTCTTGGGCTGTTTGTTTTATTCTACTTCATAATCACCCTTCTCATTTATTAAAAGCTCCTGACCTAAATAAGTCTCTGGAGAAATGCTTGCAAACTTCTAGCGAGGCAATGAAACCTGCCGTAGCAAAAAGCTGTATCATTCCTGTTCAGGTCCTCTAATGTTCAAGGCAAGTTTAAACCCATGGAGCAAGAAAGCAAATAATCAGGAAGGCTCTAGGCCTAGTTCAGGCTTGTTGTAAAGGAATACAAATGGCATCAGTGTCATTGCTGCTGCATTTAGCACACAGGAACCCCAGTACTTTATATGACTAGCAAACCCAATTTTTACTTCCTTTCTATTGAAAAAGCATGTACTTATTTCTCTACATGGTGACTGCAATACCAGACTTACATGTATCATATTAAAGTGCAGGCTCTATAACGCTGTCTTTTAAATCTATTTTCTTCTTAGAAATGGCATACATACTCATTTCCCTTTTGTTTTCCCAACAAGAAAATATAATGCTGTTTTCTTTGGTAATACATAAACTTCTAAACATAATCAAATCTGAATTCCTGTGGCTTATTTAGTTAGTTATTTTTAACTCTACATTAAGTTTTATGTTGTTTGAGTCATGGCTTTAGGCACCCAGTCAGATTACGTGCATCCTGCTTTTGGTGTTATGTGAACATGTCCTAAAATAAAGCAATAAACAGCGGTGAACCTTAGATCCTGACCGTATAACAAATGATACAATGGGGTTTACTATGGGATCTGAAATATGTATAGTTACATGTTTTGTATGGATGACAAAGTGTCCTGCATAACGTTGAAAATTACTCTTCTTTCATTATTTCTTGTAAAAAACAACTTAAGTGTCAAAATAGCTAATGAAGTCTAATACCATTAACAATAGCGTAATACCATTTTGTACCTGAATACTTCTTCTAAACTATCTCTCCTTTGTTAGTCAGAAAAACTAATATTCACCATGACATAACTTTTATTCAGAAAATAGAATCATAGAATCATAAAATAGAGTTGGAAAGGACCTTAAGATCATCTAGTTCCACCTCCCTGCCATGGGCAAGGACACCTCACACTAAACCGTATTGCCCAAGGCTCTGTCCCAGCCAAATATCCTGATATATCATGAGGTAGTATTGATCATGACCTTGTGGTTACTCAGATTTCCTTAGCAAACTCTTTTCTGTCAGGGTTAAATCCTCTCTTCCAGCAGTATCTTGGATCCACACTAGAGAAATTATGGTAAAAATAGTCTTTACATCTCAGGATGCAAATGGATCTTTCTGATTGATTGCCTCTGATGCCAGGTCTGTGTCAATAATTTGCAGTGAATGCATTGCTATGACCTTTTCCCCCTTGTTTTAGAATTTCTATTTTACAAGACCAATAAAACACGTCAGGACGAGGTGGTGGTTCTAGACATGTGAATGAATGGGTCTCAGTCAGAGGTAATCCTTCAGCAATGTCCTGTTTGGGATTAAATAATACATTTTCTTACTGCAATGGTTGTGTTAAAATATAAATAAACAAAAAATTGAAAGATGTACTCCTTCAATTACACAGTGATTAGACAGAGAGAACAAAATAAGTAAAGGGTTTCTAACTTGCTTTCTTAAACCCTGGTAAAGGCTGTAGGAATTAATGGACACACCGGCTGCGAAGCAGCATGAAATATAGGATTTAATGGCAGTTATTTACCTTAAACTTCTGCATATTGCCACATCATCATTATTGTTTGTAAACATTTCTATGCATCTACATCCATCACTTGTATAAGACACCACCAGAATGCTGCAGAACACCCAGGCTGTCCTGTCAATAAACAAACACAGTCCAGTGAAAAGGAGAACAGCTTTTGATTAAGGTACTGAAGCTGAAATCAGTTTTTGATTTTGACATAAATATAATGTTATCTATCAGCAAAGTTTCTTCATCTTTTGTACTTCAGCTCCCTTCCTGTGGAGTGGGATAACACTTGCCCATTTTAAGTTCTGTCTTATTCATTCAGACTATAAGTTGGCTGAGAAGAAAGGTGTGTCTTTCTGTACAACATTTACCTTGCAAACCTGCTTTCTAAGTTCCTCCACCAAATCAGTTGTATCATGGATGGTTAATAATGAGCTAATATTTACAAAGTAGTACTTTCCAATTTTAGCTTCCTTGAATTCTTGCTAGTTCACTGTATGAAAATACCATCCCCTGAATTATGTTGATGTGTTTATATAGACTCTATTTCAATGTGTTAGTCCATAGGTCATATTTATAACTTTTCCAAAAGTGGGATGTTGTGTTATGGACTTCAGATGCCGCTTGCCACATATAATTTATTATTCCTTTTAAATTAGCACATTAAAATCTATAGATTTAAAAGTTCCCTCTATGCCTCTGCAGTCTTTGTCACTCTGCTGTCAGTGTGGATAATTTTGGCCAGGACCACATGGATTTAATGTAATTCCCATTCATGTTGATAGCTAAACCTCTCTGTGCTGTATTTAATATTTGCCTCCAGGTGATGGATGCTTGGGCACTCAGCACAGCAGTGCACCTCTAAGAACATCAGCTGCAGTGTACATGGCTGGTTTCACAAGACAGGTAGTGGTGTACTCCCAGCTGGGTGTCAGGAAGCGTGCTCATGCCTTGTATCACATACTGAAAGCGCTTTTGAGCTCTTTGCAGGAAACCCTTACTGTGCGTACATAGCAAACATTGCTTTGGAACATATAACACTCGGGGATGGAGGATTTTCCTCCTGTCAAACAGAAGTCACTTATAATAGTTGAATTCCTCATAAAAAAAAAGAAAAAGTCTACTTCTGTAGAAAGGTGAGAAACAGCTGACTACTGGCAAAATCTTTTTTTTGTACGTAGTTTTCTGGTGTGCTGAATTATTTTGCTGCTGCTTTTCCCTATTTTTTCTACGTGCCTGTTCCATCCAGCTCACAATAGAGATGACAGGAAAGCAGATTCCATAACCAGATGAGCAGCCAAGAGCGTTAGGAGTTTGTCCCAACTTATACAGCTTGAATTATTTCTCTTTGTCTGGATGAAGTGGGGCAGTAAATGTGTATTTCCAGCCTCCTCCTTTAGCAGATCAAGTGTTACATCTTAGGCTTGGAAAAGGCTTGGGTTCCTGTCTCTCTGTCCAATCCCACTTTTTCTGTGTGTGGCTGGAAGGAGGAGAAGGGAATTTTGCATTCCATCTGCTCAAAGTGATTTGCTCAATGAATCATGATCCTAGCCATACATATAAAGATAATAGAAAGGAATAATGGCAAAGCTTCAAACCTGAATGATTTTGTCCAGTCACTGTGATGTCTTCTTCATGTAACATGGGGTTATTTTTGTAGGATGGACTCCTGTCTTGCTCTCTGGTACTCAATATTCACCTAACACTCCTGTCATTCTTCTAGAGCAGCCTGAGCTTGCTTCCTGTCAGAATGCCAGCCCTCACAAAGTCAAGCAATGAACAAGCATTTCTTAGAGTTGGGATTCTGTTCTGAGGACTTCCTTTCCAGAGTTAGGTGGCTTTGGTGAGCAGTTTATGGGATAGAGTATAAATAAGACAACAGCTGGAACAGAGATCTCTCAGATGTCCTGTATAGGAGTCTCACTTGGACATCGTTTCTGAGACCCTACCACAGAGCTTTCCTTGCCTTCAGAGCTGGATCCCAAATCCCTCTGCTCTGCACCAGCACAGTCTCCATCTCCAAGTTTTGAAGTCTTGTCTATTCATTGTTCTCCATTTTACCAAAACCTTTGCAATTTTCCCCCGTCCTCCAACAAAATAACTTCATGTATTTTTCCTCTCTTTTACCAGTCTTTCTTCCCACCTCAGGTCCCCGAGATTTTTTATTTTTCCTCTAAAATTTACTGAACTGTTACTTGATCTTCGCTGCCCTGCTCATTTCTTGTAGCCACCAGCCCTGTGTCTCCCACACCCTGGCATCCTTTGCACCCTTCACGAAAGCCTTGTTTTCACAGAATCACAGAATGGTTTGGGTTGGAAGGCATCATAAGGCTCATCTAGTTCTAACTTCTCCAGGCTGAACCAGCCCAGGTCTCTCAGCCTGGCTCCAGAGCAGAGCTGCTCCAGCTCTCGCAGCATCTCCGTGGCCTCGTTTGGGCTTGCTCCAACAGCTCCACGTCCCTCTTGTGTTGTTGCCCCAGAGCTGGACACAGGACTGCAGGGGGGGGGGGGGTCTCCCCAGAGCCCTGCAGTGGGGAAGAATCCCCTCCCCTGACCTGCTGCTCACGCTCTGGGGATGCAGAGCAGGGCACTCTCTGGTTTTCTCCCCCTCCGACCCTCCTCTCCCGCTGCCCGCCCGTCCCCACGTGCCCTTCCCGTGTTTCCCGCTCACCACGCACAAGTCTCCTCACGGCCACGGCCGCGCCCGCGCTGCCCCCTCCGTAGCGCCCCCTGCCCCGCTCATGAATATGGATGTCTCCCCTCCCCGTGACGTCGCCGCGGTCCCAGGGCGGGGGCCGGAGCCGCCCCGGTGCTGGCAGTGAGGGCGAATGAGGCAGCGGCGGCGGCGGTAGCAGCAGCCTCTGCCCGCCTTGCTCCGCACACCGCTGCCGCCGGGAGCTGTGTTGCGCGCGGAGGGCCGGCGCCGCGGCGGGGATGCGGCTGCGCTGGTGCTGCTGGGGGCCGGCGGCGCCGCCGCTGCTGCTGGCGCTGCTGCTGGGGCTGGGCAGCCCGGTCGCCGCCAAAGGCAGGTACCGCGGGCGGTGGCACCGGGGAGGGCGGTGCACAACTGTTCGGGCCGTGGCTGTGGTGGTAGAGGTGGAGACTGTGCTCAAGGAGTCGAGTGGGGTCTGGGGGGCTCCGGGTGGATATCGCGTCGGTCGGGGGGTCTCCTGCTCAGCAGTGCTCGGTCAGAGAGGGCTAAAGGGAGCGGATGGCGGCTGTCAAGTTTGCGGGAGGCCGAGCCCCGGCGCGGGCTGCCGCAGGCTCTTGCCTGCTCCGCGGGGATGTTGCGGGGCTCCGGTCACCCGCCGGCTCCCAACAACGCGCTCCCGTTCCGAGTAGCTCCGCGATGCGGGTGTCGGAGTCACCTGCCTTTTGCATGGTGGCTTTCCCTTGGCATTGTTTTAGGGTAGGTCTGACTCCCTGCCCCCAAGTTTTCAAACTCAGTTTTGAGATCTGTCTCAGTTTATATTATTGGAAAGCATTGGTATTATTTTTAGTTTTATGTGAGGCTTTATTTTTTATTTTACTTTTGCATCCGCGAAAGAGAGGGACTGGAAAACTTCAGCGTCTGTTTGCTTTTATTTGTTTTCTTAGAAAAAAACCCTAAACCGTCCAAGCCGAACTTTTAAGAGGAAAGTGGTTGTTCCGCGCAGACGTTGCCCCTAGATTAACCTGCGGGATGGTTACTATAGGAAGTAACTACAGGGCGTTCATTGCTACTTTTGTTACTAACCCTGAGGTCCTGGTGGGGTTTCATGTTTTCTGGGTGGATTAACTGTGTGATCTAACAAATGACATAGAACGTTTTGATGAAGGGGGGTTATTTTGCTTCTTTATGTATTTTAAGGTAATTATCTCTTTCATATGGATCTTTTCTTTAGAGAAAAGAGTTGAGTTTCATGTCCTTAAATGTAGCAGGTAGTTCACCAGGCAAATCGTAGTTGTTTTCTTGTTGGGTTCTCCGTGTTTGACCAGTGGAGGGCTGCAAAGAGCATTTTTGGATAACAGTAGCCGTCGTTTACCAGTATTTAAAGATAGATGTTTTAAGGGTGTTTGTATTGGTAGAAGTGCTTTAAGTTTACTCTTATTATTTTACATACCTTGCTTCATGTAATTAGATATCATCAGAAGCTATAATGTAGGATTAATAAATGAATTAACGTATCTTGGCACTGCATGCAGTTGATATCCACTGTACTTGCCTCTGGCGGCTGCTCAGTAGAGGCAAGAATAAAGGGTTTATTTCACTAAACACCTGGTGCTGCTTTCTCTTTCTTTGTATATTTTTGTAGGACACAAATTTTAATTTGAAAGGAATTTCTTAGGTACCTCACACAACTGAGAACCCGGTACTGTAACCATAAACTTGACTTCTAGCTTGAAGGTGGGTGCCTCCTGGTTGGAGATGGAGGTAGGATGTTGTGTGTACAAGGCTCCTCTGGTGCTTTTAAGCATTCTGTGGTAGTGAGTAGCAAAGACAATCTAAGGTAATGATTTTGAATCTTATCTACTTTGCTGTGATCTGCTGCTCCTTGTTTTAAAACAAAAATCACTCCTACCCCTTTCCCACCTGTTTTGAGGATGGGGAGGAAGATTCCAGAAACAGTCCTGGTTATTACCATTCACTCAGTAGAAAATAATGATTATATTGCACAAAATATCTACAGGCTCTAAAATTGTTCATTCTCCATAAAATGGAAAAAACCCCAAGGCTCTTTAAAGTTTTTCACAGAAAAACAAATATTAGAGGTAATGTCAGAATATTTAGTAGGTGGTCAGTTACAGAACTTAATCTGAGTATTAAATATTCATATGCAATTTGTGGCTTTGTTAGCTTTCAAGCAAGTTGTTGACCCTGGGATCTTTATTATAGATTCCAATAAAATCACCATTTGGGACAGAAAAATGGTTTCTTTAAAGTATTTCCAGACAGCTCAGGTCAATAAGACACTTTCTGAATTATTGGAATTGCATTAATGATATCTGGAAATTGTGTGGACAGTCTCTTAGGGTCTTCTGTTATGTAAAACAAAATATACTGAAGGGTAAGATAACTTTTTTTCTCCCTGCAGGCAGGAAGAAATACTACCTGCAACATTTTACTTTCTGTCTCTTCATAAATCTATGCATAAGACTGATTTCTTCAATTATTTATGTTATTCTAGTATATACTGTTAAATTACTTGGTGAAGCCCTAAAAAGGTTGCCATCCCCAAATTCCTTGTGAGACCCAATTAATTCAAGTTTGTATTTCAACTTCATCATTAACATGAATATAATTTTATTCTTAATTTTTAAGTAGAACTGAAAGCATCTCAATTATATGAATAACTAAGAATATTTTATTTCAGTTATTTTAATTAGATAGGCAAAACTTGAAGTCTTAGTCATTCAGGATATTTCCAAATCAGTGGAACATTCAGTCCCGCTTGGCATGTCTATTATGTGAATACATCTGATACGACTATCAGCAGTAGAAAAATAACTAACCCAAGGAGACAGAGCCAGCATATCACGAGTATAAGAAAGCCTGGGGGAAAGAAATGGAAGGAAAAATCTCTGAGAACATGCTAGACAGATCCTGGTGTCTGAATCCTTCTGCGTAATACTATGGTTTCTTGTGATTTTTTTTTTTCCCCATGGTAAATAATAATAAAATACTTTTCCATATCAGTTCAAAGGAGACATGAAAAAATAAGAACCTTCTTTTCATCCTCATCCAAAATATATGGGAAATAATGTTTGGCACACTGCTTAGGTCAGAAGATGGGGGTTGAAGCAACCTTGATTTCTGCTGCTGGTGCTTTATGTAGCTCACTAAGAAACCCTGAGGAAGACATATAAATGGCTTCGTATTTCATTTTCTCATCAATAAATGGAGGTAGGAATATTCCTGTTCAGGAATATGCCTTTGTAAGTTTTTGATGGAAAAGTAATTAATGAAAACTGGCTCTTCTCTCTCATGGACAAAAGATTTGCCTGATTACAAAGTCTGGGTGCCAACGTAAAGAAATGATTCAGAGGTCTTGAAAGGCAAAAGTTGGAATATTTGCTAACTGGTTTAGTATTCTTTCAGCACAGAAGATTGACAACTCTATGTAAGTTGTCATTACAGTGCTACAGAATATTTTCCAGCCATAAATGTGTTGTTACCAATTTGAATTGTATCATTTGGAAGGCTACGAAAGCTGAGAAAACTGAGTGATTCAGAGCTTTTTAATGCTTAATTCTAAGGAAAGTGTGTGCCACTAAAAGAACACCCTGGAAGGTATGCCCTTTGTCAGCGGACATGAAGTGGTGTGTGAGAGCATTGTAAAGAGCTTTGGGTTTTTTTTTTGCCTGGAAGTGACAGTCATCTGAGTTCTAAGGCAGTATCTGTATCTGGATAGACCTTCTCATGGCCAAATTGCAACTTGAAATCGGCCTTTGTTTTCTTTTTCCTCCTATTAAAACTTTAGAGAAGTGTGTGAAAACTGATCAGAAGCTCGCAGAGGCTCTGTCACCTTGTTCTGATTATTTAACTGGGAGAATCTGTTGATGATGCAGGACTCATGCATCCATTAGGCATTTAAAAAGCAGAATGCACATTACTAGCTTTATGTAGTTATAGCTTGGTATGTGTATGAAACAGATGCTTTTCCTAGGGCCCTCGAAAATGAAGATTCATGGTGATGTTATTTATTATATGATGAAAATGTTAGAGGGTAAATTTTCTCGTGTACTTCTTGCATATCAGATTTTCTATCTGATTGACATGGAAAGTTTCAGGAAAGTAACTTCAAAGGTCTAATTCTGGCTTCAAATATATACAAATATATCTGGCTTCGTATATACAGTCTTGTCCTCCTTTTGGTCCTCATTTTGACTTAGTTGCCTCAAAGTGATTTGTTTCCATTTCTTTTGTGTCCAAGAAGGTTGTATTAGAAGGTGGCAAATCTCTTACTTGGCTCCTATGGAGTGTCTGAGTGGTGTAGGTAGCACTTCATTTACTGTAGAGTGCTTCCCTAGTGTGAAATAAATAATGGAAAAATGAAAGCAAAAATGCATTGTTTCTATAGCAAGCTAATTGCTGGTGTCAAGTGTAGTTCCCTGTAGTCTATAGGCCTGTTTTTGCAAATACGGCAAATAATCAAGTCCTAATAGTCAAAACATGTTTAATGTTACTTCATGTTTTTTAAGTGTAAGTTTAAAAGACAAATTTAAACCCCAGCAGCAGTGAGCTTTGGCCTAGCTCAAATTTACAGTTTGTGGAGAGAACCATAAACCAACCGCAGCTCTTCTTAGAGCATTTTTTCTCCCTCTGGTATCCTTAGAAAAGAGCAGTCTAGAAATAACAGGTAGGGGATACATACAAAGGGATCTTTGACTGACTTCTGTCTTTCCCAGCAATTGTACTCAAATGGCAGCTTCTCAGTCTCTCAAATATCTTAGATTTATTAAACAGGGGAAAAGTAATCTAGACTGCAGACTAGAAGCCTTTTTTCAGTGCAGCTTCTGTCCCTCTTGGGAATATTCCCATGTATGTGGTGTTCTAAATGAACCCCTTCTGTCCTCTGAAGGGATAGTGTTTGACAACTGTGTGAAGCAGTCAAACTGAATGATAACCTGGCAATAGGTGCTTGAATCAATCATATAGGCTGTTCATATCTTTTATACCAACATCAGGCAACTTTATTTCAGCTGTATTGGGTTTGTGTGGCAAGGTTTTGGTAGTGGGAGAACTACAGGGGTGACGCTGTGAGAAACTCCTAGAATTCCCTTATGTCCAGTGGAGCCAGTGGCAGTTGGCTCCAAGACAGACCAACTGCTGGCCAAGGCTGAGACAGTCAGGGATGGTCTCAGCACCTCTGGAATGAAATATTTAAGAATGGGTGGGAGGAACTGCAGCAGAACAGCAGCCAGAGAGATGAGTGAGAATGTGCGAGAGAAATATCCCTGCAGACCCCAAGGTTGGCAAGGAAGGAGAGAGAAGGTGTTCCTGGTGCCAGAGCAGATTCCCCTGCAGCCTGTGGAGCTCCATGATGGA